TTTTTTCGGTGTTTAATACAACATCTAAGCTATTTTCAGGAACCAAATATCCAACAGCAAATTTATATCTTATTCAAGTTTGGAGTGTAAAACACAGAACACACATTGTACACACATCTTACAAGTTGAACACACATCTTACAAGCGATAATGAGTACATGAGGAAAATGGCAGCAACTATGTCTATTAAATTTGACAAATATTGGGGTGATTGCAACATGTTGATGTCAATTGCTTCTGTCTTGGATCCTCGTTACAAAATGGAGTTTTTGAAGTTCATTTTTCCTCAACTGTACAATGTTGTAGATAGTCAAGATCATCTCAAGAAGATTATGGAAGTGCTCAAAGAGTTGTACCAAACATATGTTAGTGAAAGTGAGACAACGGGATCAAAAGATACAACCAATAAGGATAAAAAACAATTTTCCTCAAATTTGCAGCAAGTTATTGACTTTGAGCAGTTTTGCGACACAAATTCAGTAGCTGAAAAGACTGGGTTGGAACTTTATCTTGAGGAAAAGCGTTTCAAATGTGAACCGTCAACCCACTTTACTTTTGATTTACTAGGTTGGTGGAAGGTGCATAGCATTAATAAACCAATCCTCTCAATGATGGCACGAGAAATACTTTCAATTCCACTAACATTAGTTGCTTCAGAATCTGCATTTAGCGCAGGATGTCGAGTGCTTGATTCATTTAGAAGTTTATTATCGCCTGAAACAGTGGAAGCTTTGGTTTGTTGTGTAAATTGGTTGAAAGATGATAGTCAAGAGAAGAAGGTAATGTTATTCTCTTAGTCATTTTTATGATATCTTTTTTAATTCAAGTTTTAATATCAACTAATTTTGTAGGTTGATTTTGAAGAAGAAAATTTTAATGTTGTTATTCCAACGGTTCTTAATTTTACTATATGAAAAGATAAACAATTAAGATTCTAATTATGTTTTCAAATTCCAATTATTTTTTATATTTAATTATCTAGATTCATTCTCATGCAAGTTTGTTCTAAAATTTCAGATTTTCAGCTCACTTTTGAGGTTCAACTTCAAAAGAATTAGAGGAAGGTTTTTTATCTTGTTTCATCCAATGCAATGAGAGCAAGACTTATATTTGTGAAAATGTAATTTGAACTATTAGAGTGCAGTGTTTAATAGGAATTATTATGTTTGTGAGAGTTTACATTATGTTCGAACTTTGACCATTATGTTTGAGCATTGAACTATTAAATTTAACTTTTATTTTGAACTATTAGATTTGTGGGATCTTATTTCATTATGTTGTTTATTTACATGTTTAATAGACTGTAGAATTGTTTATGTTGTTCGTTGATTTGGACTTACATTATTTACAGACGAGCCTTTAACGAACATTTTTTTTTACTAAACAAACTTTAAACTAACAGGTTACAATAATTATTTCGAGTTTTAAACCAGTCGAGCTCGAGCAACATGTAAAACAAGCCGAGCCCAAACAATACTAATCCTTATCGAGCCGAACTCGAACAAAGAATCTCATGTTCGAAACGAGATCGAGCGGAGCCTGAACACTCTTAATATGCAAATGAACCAAGCCGAGCCCTGGCAAGTTTGGCTTGTTCGGCTCGATTTACAGGCCTACGCGTAATGGCAGCACGTTGAAATGCGGTTTAGCTAATGGTAGCGCGTTTGTGTTTAATTCAGTCAATAACAGTGCGTTAATATGCAATATAATTTATTCAATAACTCTAATTAAAAAACTTAACCTTTTTTTTCTACAAGTATCATCTTGTATTTTCAGCGACTCGAACAAACAAACAAAAAAAAGTAATGTTTCGCGTTCTGTTCTTCTTTGCTTCTCGAAACCAAAACGATCTTTTTTTAAATCAAATTGTGACCTATAATGTGGATCATTTACAAAAATCAAAGACGTTCGAGACAATGGTCGGGCAGTTGTTCGGACAGTGGTCGGGCGCCGAAAACCTTTTCAGGCACTTCCCAAAATTGAAAGCCTACTAAAAAGAGATTATGGCTACATTTTGGCAGTATGCAGCCGGCATTATGCGCTAGAATTTTTGAAACCATCTAAACTAGATAAACAATTACAGGAGAGTCACATGTGAGGAAATCGACAAAATGTACTAAAAATTGTGTCAGTAGCAGCAAAAAAATCGGTCCGATCCTTCACGTTTCACAAATCACCGTCCGAAAATTAAAGTAATTTCATATCAATGGCTTGCCTAACTAGAGAAGATCATACGATCTTATCATGAAGCCCTTTATAATATCAAATATAACAACAAAATAATAATAATAAAATCAAACTAACCAATAAAAATAAATCAACATAAACAATATATAACTGTGCATTTAAAATATAAGTACTGGATAAAATATATGAAACAAAAGAACTAAAAATAAGAAAAAATATTTTCTGCTGAAAAGATAGCTTCTTTTAATTTTTGTTTGAAAGAAGTTAAAGTCCATTTCAAAGACAAATCAAAATTAGATAAGAAATAATTAGTTGTTCAAATTTAGTTTGGCTGAAAGGTTCTTGTAGATTTTTTCCATTGCGAAGAATGTATTTGTTTATGTGTCTTACATAATAAAGGTTTATAAACACATCAGGAGATTAATAATTTTAGATTTAAACATGAAAAATAAAATATTATAAACATTTAGTTCGTATACATTTAAGGCTTTTATTTCTCTCAGAAGTGGTTTTAAATTTGAAAAACAATTTGAAAAAAAATTTACAAAATTAATTAAGCGAGCTGCGTGTTTCTAATGCTGATAAAGAGACTTAAGTTTAGTTTTGTACCCGCTTCCCCATACAAAATTTGCATAATTTAAATGGCAGGGAATAAACGAATAATATAGCTGTTTTAATTGTTGTTTATTTAACATATGTCGAACTTTATATATAATTCCAATACTTTTAGCATCTTTCAAGGAGATTTTATCGATTTGTTGTTTTCAGGAAAAGTTTTCGTTTACAAGAACTCCGAGAAGTTTTGCAACTTTTTTCTTTTATAGTATTGTATTATCAATGAAGAGGACGGTCATCGTATTTGATAAACATTTTATTTCGGATATTGGGTAAAAAAGTGTCCATTTTGTTTTATCAATATTGAGGGACAATTTGTTTCTCTTAAACCAATATGAGATTTTATTTAATTCTTATCCCATATTATCAAAAAGTGTATTTATAATCTATAATATAATCGCTAGTCTTCTCTCCAACCGACCACCACCTTTTCAAAAACTTAAGTAACTTTATCAACAATAAAACCTTTGCTAATCAGCACCAAATAAAAACGGCTTTGTCAACTTCATCGAATCCTGAGCACCAAATATTTATGCTAACGGAACTGATCATCGTAACGCGTTGTCAAGAATGTGGTGATTCTGCGGGCATTTTTTCAACCAAAGAGGTATTATAGACTGGAGGGAGAACAAAGTTAAAATATGTCATTTCTCAAGGAACATTCTTAGTAGCAACACGATTTTTTATTAAATACCGTGTAATTATCATAATTCAAAGTTAACTAATCACATTTCACTTTTAACAAAAATAATTTCATGATATTGTTTCAAGACGTCATAAACAATGGACCGTTCCCTCTATAGAAAAAAATCGCAGTGCATTTTGGTCTTTGTATTCACCGAAAATAAACAAATTATCAAAACATATTATCATGTCGGCAATAAATAAAGTTGATAGCTATGAAATTAGTTTGGAACATGATTTTTTTAAAATATTTCAATCGCTACTTAACCAGTATTTCGAGAAATATCTTGTCAGTTTAATCAAATAGATCTTGAAAAAGTTATACAGGAACAAATAAACTCTTGGTCAAGATGTCTTTACTTACTGCCTAATTATAAAAGGCAGTAAGCCAAGAAAAAATACACAAATACTTAATTATAGACGATAATTCGATTGATTTTGGGGCTAGAGCTGCTTCAAAGCATAAAATCTCTGGGTATCAGCTATTTAAGGAGAACTTCGCTAAAAATTTGGTTGTTAAACCTAATGTCAACATTGAAATAAATTCTTTTTTTATTAGAACTAACATTTCAGCTTCGATGAAAAAAAATCAGTATCTTATTTATGTACATCTTTGTCAAAAAGAAGGAGATATTTTGTATGCTAAATGTAATTATAAAACTGGTATAGGAGGATGCTGCAAGCATGTTGCTGCAGTATTATTTCAATTAAATCAATATAAACAATTAAAGTTAAACTCTGTACCATTCGATAAAACATTCACAGAAGTGTTACAGCAATAGCATGTTCCTGCTGAAGGAAAAAACTCAGAACCAATTAAGCTTTCTAAAATTCCTTTTAAAAAGAGTGATTTAGAAAAGAGTCTAAACAACTCACGAAAGCGTCTTTTTGTATTTTGAAGCATTGCAAGTAAAGGATGGAAGTTTAAAAAATTCATAAACAATATTTAGAGTTAGTTTATTGCCATTTTTTTTATGTTGTGCATTTTGAACGACGAATAATAAATTTTTAGGTTAGAATCGAATTAATAAATGTCTAGATAATTGGTAGTATTTTTGCCGGATTAGAGATTATCTAAAACTTTGATATTTACACCTAGTATCGAGGTATTAAAAAAACGATTACTTTACAAAGATCATGATTTTGGTTGCTATTACTATTTGATAGCAGGAACAGGTGCTAAAAACTTATTTAGCCAATTTTTAAAAAAGTATTCCATTTTTATACAAGCTTACGAAGGTTACAAACTACATTTCAATATTTTCCTTTTTTAACACAAAGTTACCATTTTGACTTGCCGCTGGAATAATTATACAATAAAGACTGTACTACAATTGTAAACGATTTTTGGCTTTGATCTCCATTCTATTATACCTCCTTGTTTCAACCCTAAAAACCCTTGTAAAAACCTAATACTTGTAAACTTTGTACAATATTACGCTATATTAAAAAATAAGTACATAAAAAAAAAACTTTTTAATTAATTTATTATTATACTTAATTTTATATTTTCATCATCATATAATTCTACATAAATATTATAACAGAATTGCATTTCAATAGTTTTAAATTTTACGGTTTATAAATAATAAAAAAAAAACGAGATAAAAAATAAGTATTTTAAGCAAATGTTAAACATTAAAAAATATATTAAAATTATTTTATTTAATTTTCTAAAATTTTTGCAAAAACAAATTTTCAAATGATAAAAACTCTGCCATTTGCATTAGAACACAATTAAAAGTTATTGTTAATAAACTTCTACAACTTGAGATGTAAGTTGGTTAGTGTCGATAAGATTGACGTCGTCGCAATTATATTAATATGTTTTTGAAAATCTTTTAATATATAGTATAATAATAAAAATAGTGAATGATAAGTAATAAAAAAATCATCACATCTACTCCTCGTTCTTTTAAATGTGTTGCTGTTCTTGTACGAAACTTTTCTAAACGAATTTATTTCGAGTTTTCAGCAAAGCTTTTATGAGGAAAAATTATAACAAGCATAAACTCAAACTTTTAAAATTTTTATACTTATGAGTGTCTTTAAACCTCTAAGTAATCTCTTGCCATTTGGAAATTCAATTACGGCCATATACGGCACTGAATATTAAATTAAAAAAATATTGCATTTTTTAAATGACGCGTTGTTGCGATAAAATATTTAATGTGCATGGTACCTTTTAAACCTGCATGTATTCCATACCCATATAACTTTGATTTCTAACAAAACAACACTTGTTAAATCTTTTGACATTTAGAATTTAATGGACTGATATTTGATTTTTGGAATGATGTTTTACTTGAAAATATAAATCCGCCAGTTCCCTTATATATTACTCTCTTAAATGCTTCTAAGAATAACTTGTTAGAAAAGCTATAAATGAAAGGATTTACCATTGTGTTTATTATAGGAAGTATGTCCACAAATGCATAATATAAAATATTGACAAACAAAAGATTCTGCTTTTTAAGTTCAGGAAAGTATTTGTTATTAATAAAAATAATAATGTTTATAATGCATGAAGGAAACCAACAAATAACAAAAGCTAAATAAACGAAAGCTAATGATTTTGTTGCCTTAAGCTCACGACTAAACTTGCTTTTTTCACATTTATTTGCTTTGCTATCTTTAATCAAATGAGACATATTGTATTTAGGCGTTGTGGCATCAATAGCTTTTATATGTCTGACAACTACATGTAATATTTTTAGATAAATACAAGTCATTAAAATTAGCGATGGAACATATACTCCAAAATAGGAGGTTAAGTAGAAAGCGTAATTTTCATTACTGCATGTATTAAATTTTTCGTTTTTTCTTATGTTGCTTCCTCTTGAATGACTGCTCCAATTTGGTATCGCAAGAAAGCTCCAAGCAATAGCGAACGTCCACACAGTGACAATCAATACTCTTCCCCTTAACTTATTTATAATCTTAGGGTAGCGAAAAGGCATAGTAATGGCTACAAATCTAAAAACAGTACAAAACATTAAAATCCTAATTTAATTAACTTTAAAAAAAGAACCAAAATTTAAAAAACAAATAGTAAACCTGTCAACTGCAATTAGTAGGAGGCTGAGAATACTTGCTACGTTACCAATTACATCAAATACAATATAGAAATAACAAAGTTCATTGCCAAAGCAAAAATTTTGTGTCAAAATTTTAAAAGGTATTTGAGTGACGGAGAGAGTTAAGTCTGAAAATGCTACAAATAAAAAAATACGTTAATGATGTATTGAGAGGCATTGTAACACGGTAGACATACCAGGCAGATGCCCCACATTTTTTCGCCTGAAATATGTTTCAGCAATCAAAAAATAATTTTATAATTTTACGCCCTAGGTTATTTCTTAATTGTTTTGCAATTTACGAACAATCATTTATAAACTTTGGATACATCGTCAAGACGTAAATACATATATGAATTGACATTGTTACGAATATGCGTAAATATATAAACCCGGATACAAACATTATATAAATTTAATGTAAAAATATAATATAAATATTATGAAAACGTTAAATGCGTATAAAAATTATTTATTATAAGAATTAGATTAACTTTATGTTTATTTGGTAAATGACGCAGTTATTTATTAAAATATACAAAAAAAGTTATACAAATAAAACAGTTATTTATACAAATAACAAAAGATTTTTATTAAATTGGATTTATATAAATTTATATTTAACAAATATTGTTTTTCATAATCTTTATCTCCATGAACTATTAGAATTAAAGTTTTCAACATAAACAAAAGTTTTATACATTTTTCCAGTGTTTTATACAAGCATATTAAAAGATTGAAGAACTGTTCAACGTTTTTTTTTATTGAAATCAAAGTTTTGTTTTTCTCTATTACTTTGGAAGTGAAGAGTTTTCTAACTTTTTCTTACACCTTTGCATCGTCAAAACTATCAGTGAAAGCAATATATTTCTTTAATATTTTTATGTTATTTTTTTTTAAATTTTTAGTAACTTTTGAGATACTGTTAAAACAAAGTAATACAGGGGAAACTTTAAAAAACTGTTAATAATAAACTTTAAAACATTCAAAATGGTAAAAAAATTACAATTAGAAACCTTACTCGATCAGGAAGATCAATTGCAAAATAAATTAGAACCGATCCCAAAACGATCAGAAATTTGATCAAAACAGACTTAGGTAAGAAAGCTTATAAAAAAAAATTATCTGGGGTCAATGTTATAAAACTTTTTATCGGCGTAAAATGCTACAGGCTGTAAATTTTATCGGCATAAATGATTTGTTTCAATGTTATAAAAATTTTTTCATAATTACCGTCGATAGCCGAAACGTTTACAGGCGATAAATGTTCCGGAGGAGCGACCTACGGAAATTCTTGTTGAAGATCCAGAGAGATGAATATTTAGTTGTAGAAACCTATGGTTTAGAACTTTTCAAAGTACTTACCTTGAGTTGAAAACTTAATACAAATTCTTTCATTTTAATTAAGTGCACATTTCTTGGTAAATTTTAATTTCGAGCGATTTCTTTGTTAAAATTTTAATACTGATATTGTCATGTAAAAAATGTAAGTCATTCTCAAAATTTAAAACTCCTCTCATTAACCACTTTTTAGAAAAACATTGCTTATAAATTTCATACTTTCATTCAACTTATTATTTATAACCATAATTCTGAGCTTCTATTTATCTAATATTTTTCTTTTCTGTTGTGATTTAATATTTTTTGCTAAACTTATTAAATTTAACAAAAAAAAATTAAAACACAACACTGTTCTGTTTTAATATTTTTATATATAATTTAAAAGCAATATTTTTCTAAAAAATTGTGAATGTTATAAAGTATAAATAACCAGTTATTTATTATTTTAATATTTCTTAAACTGAAGTATTTTCTCTTTATCACTATAATTGTTAATATTATTATTACTATATTTTATCATTATAAATGTTATGATTCTTACTGTTATTATTATTGCGATAATTTTTTTTTATATTACTGTTTTTGTTATATTACTGTTGTTGTTATTATTATTGTTGTTGTCATTTTTACTGTTATTTTTGTTTTTATTATTAAAATAGTATAGTGTATACTTTTTATAATCTTTACTATTTCTTTTAATCGCTGTTATTATAACTATTATTTTTATTTACTCCTAATTGCATTATAATTATTATTAATATTACTTCAATAATAATAAAATGATGCAAATAATGTTAGCATCATTTTATTAGTATTAAATTTTACAGGTTACTATTTGTAAATAACCTTGATGTATTGACTTTATTCAGAATATATTTGATTTGATTTATTTTGATCACTGAAAATTTGAAATTTAATGAAAAATAATAAGGCAAAAGCAATTTTATTCATTTATGTATATATATATATATATATATATATATATATATATATATATATATATATATATATATATATATATATATATATATATATATATGTATATATATATATATATATATATATATTTATATATATATTTATATATATATTTATGTATATATGTGTGTGTATATATATATATATATATATATATATATATATTTATATATATATTTATAGCTATGTCTATGTGTATGTATATATATATATATATATATATGTATATATATATATATATGCATATATATATATATATATATAAATATATATATATATATATACATATATATATATATATATATATATATATATATATATATATTATATATATATATATATATATGTATATATATATATATATATATATATATATATATATATATATATATATATATATATATATATATATATATATATATATATATATGTATATATATAAAGAGAGAGAGATTAAGAGAGAGAAAGAAAGAAAGAAAGAGAGAGAAATATATATATATATATAGAGAGAGAGTGCTCAACATTCTTAAAAAACAGAGCAATAATAAATTAGTAAAAACACTTATCTAATTTTTATCTTTGATTCATGAATGAAAGTTAATAAACAAATTTAACTTTTTAGATTAACTTTACAAATCTTCTTTTAGACATTGGAACCTGAAAAAAAGCTATCAGGAATTTAAAGTGTTTGAAAAGGAATTTAAAGTGTTTCCAAAGTTTGTTATTGAGCTAATTAGAAAAATGCACTTATGCTAGATTTATTAGGACTATTTATTGATCCAAAAATCAAATCAACTTTAGTATTGGACATATTCAAAATGGACAGGCAAAAAAAATTTCTCTATTTAAAATTTATGCTGAGGTTATTTGAAATTCGAAATAGTAAAATAAGTGGTCAAACTATAAACAGAATTATTAAAGTTCTAGAAATTACCTTTGATGCTCGAATATGGTATGAGCTCATGAAAATGTATACTTGATATTTAAAAATTAATTGAACCACTACGATGTTGGCTCAAATATTTTTGATAAAGTCAAATAACAAAATACATCAAAGATTTTTCTTCTTATTCAGAAAGTGTTTAGACATTATGTACAACTTGTTTCCAAAGTTTCTCATATTGTCTATGGTATGGAAGCACGTCAAAACTTATTGTGGATAAAATTCTAATCAGAAAGCATCAAAAGAGTTTTATGTTTAAATGTTTATTTGTGTCTAAATAAATTTTTGTTATAAGAATTTGAGTTAGTGAGTAATTCTTTTAATTATTTTGATATTTAAAGTTGTTTTCTAAAAAAGTTTATTAATGCAATTTTTTCTGTGTGTGTAGATTTTCTATGTGTATAGATTGTATAATATGTATTTCTATGTGTATAGTTGTATAATATAAAATGCGTATAGATTTTTTATATTTATATCAACACAATTTTACAAAATAAAGATTGATTAATTACCTAATTAATTACGTAAAAAAAAGAATAAAAACTTTTAATTCTTTAATTTTATGTATTCTATTATAAAGACCAAGGCCAAAACAAACAAGGTCAAGGCCAAAAATTTCAAGGCCAAGGCCACAGTTTTTGGTCTTTAGGCAAGGTCAAGGCCAATTAACAACTCTGGTCTAAAGAAACCTCTATATAAAAAATAGTATAAGTTATTTTTATAGAAAAGCTATACAAATTTTGTTATAGGGTAGGGTAAAAAATTAAAGACAATTCCATTTTTTTACTTTTAAATTGTATTCTTAACAGTTTAAATAGTGTTTGAACATTTTTACTTCTCGTGGTTGTCTCTGATTTGCCAAATATTCTAAAGCAACAAAATATTCTTCATCAGAATCAGAACAGCCTAAGTCCGAATCCATAAGAAACTGTTAATTTTTGTTAACTTTGATGTTTTCGAATCAAAAACATTTTGTTTTTGACAACCTTTTAAGTTATTGGTTCAGACAGTAGATTTCCGAAAATAAATTCAGAGCATTGATATCTTCAAAATTTTACGCCGGTAAAAGTTTTATAACATTGAATGAAAAAACATTTTACGTCTCTAAATTTACGGCTGTAAAAATTCCTGAATAAAAATTCCGCCGGTAGAATTTTACGCCGATAAAAAGTTTTATAACATTGACCCCTGGTCTGAAAAGCAGAAACAAGCTTGAGTGTGTTAAAAAATGTAAAATGACAAAGAAACGCCATGTTGGCCCACCAATAATTTTTTTGATGAAAAATCAGTTGTGTTTGAGCGCCACCTTAACAAACAAATGACGGAGTTTATAGAGTATGTTTGCAAAAGATCCCACGTAATGTAAGAACTATTCCTTAATACCAAAATATATCTGGAGTTCAAAATTCAGCAACGCACACAAAGAAAAAACCGTGTAAGGTTGGTGTGAAAAAAATTTCCCTTATTTCATTCCAAAAAAAAAAAAAAAAAAAAAGAGTTACCTCATGTGATATCACATGAGAGTTATCTCATGTGATAACTCATGAGATTTAACTCAATGAGAGTAATATGAGAATATTAAAAAAAAAAAAAAAGATTTGAAATCAACTAATTTTTTGCAATTGAAAGTTATATTATGTTAAGGTAACTTTCAAAAAAATATAGCATTTTATAAATCAAAACAGTTGTCTAGTTTTTTTAACACAAAAACTAAACGTTTTGGGTCCCTAAAATGTTGGCTTCATTATGTACAAACAAATAGACCATCAATGTCTGGTAACTTTACTAGATATAAACAAATAGACTTTTATTATCTGCTGACTTAATTAAATACAAACAATTGGCTAATTTTTTGTTTGGTAAAATTTTTCTTCTTATAACAATTTTATGCGTCTCAGCTGAAGGTATAGATAACTGCATTAATTACTAATTTGAGCTTAGAATTTATAATATTACAAATATTATCAAACAAACTTACAAATGTTTAATTATATATATATATATATATATACATATATATATATATATATATATATATATATATATATATATATATATATATATATATATATATATATATATATATATATATATATATATATATATATATATATATATATATATATATATATATATATATATATAAGCATTTTTTCTTGGCAATTGTTTATAGAGTCTTACAAATAAAGTATTTTTTTTAACTTTATGATAATTAGTTGGATTAATCATTTAATAATCTATATCCCTTTTAATAAACATTTTTACTAATTTTAATAATTACAAAAAGACTGCTGTAACACGTTTGAATAAGAATTTATTTTTATCAAAACCTGCTTGTAACAAACTATTTATTTTTAATATGTCATAAGTTATTGTATTTTATGTAATAGTTTATTATATATAACGAATTATTTGTAATAAATATAAAAAAATTTAAGGTTTTCACGTTGTAGCTAGTTATAACGGTCTTCGGACTTTTTTAAAGCAAAAATATTTTTTAGTGCAATTTGGCATTTAATGGCATTTCAGTAAAATAGCGCCTTTAAGAATATTTAGTACGAAAAGAACAATTTTCTTCAAGCTTTACATTAGAGAGCGCGGTGGAAATGTTTATTCGAAATATGATTTGCACGACACCCTCCTAGATAAAAAAAAATTGGAGTAACTCTATAAAAACTAACAACATTTATTTTAAATTTTATGTCTATTATGTTATGAGTTTTTAAATTAGGACTGAAGAATAATCGTAAGTATTACAAATCTCTAAAACAAAGCTCCATAAATTTGCAAAAGGGCTACTTAAACTTTTTTCGCCTAATTCTACTTGGCTAATACAATATAGGATTTTTTATCCAGTCTTTTTTATTCGTTTTTGTGAGGAGAGGGGGAGGAGAAGAGAGATTTTTCATAGGAATTTTTCTGAGAGGAATTTTTCTTAATACAATATTTAATAAAGTCAAACAAATAAAATATGGAGAAAAAAATATTGCAGGGTTAACAACCTAACTACTATAATAATGTATTTGATTATTATAACAAAGTGCAAAACTCCGTAACTATATAATAGATACAGAAACCTGTTTAAGCACAAATCGAACGTGGTTATGTAAGCAGGCTACTTGCAAGTTATACAATAATAATAATAATAAATTATATAAACTGTTCATATAATACTTGTTAAAATAAAAGTAAAAGCAAAACACAGCCGCGACTATTTAATCGATGTTTTACTGCAATTTTCCTACGTTTAGTGTACTTTTACTGTACGTTTTATGTACTTTTCTGATTGCATAAAACTTAGACTAAGTTTTAAAATGAACAACTTTGTTAATTAGTTGTTCATTTTACAAAGGTTTTCAATTACGCATTACGCATGCTGGCTGTTACCCCTTGCGTTTCAAATACTGTTTGACGCATAATTGTATTTTAATTTCAATGTATTTTATAAACATGTTGAGTAATTTAGTGCTTTATTTTTTATTAACTAATTTTTTTTTTTTTAGATACAAAACTTTTCATTTTTTTCAGAAGCTGATTTGTTGAGGAAAATTAAAAGGACAATATTATTCATTACTTGTTTATGTTTATTAAATAATCAGTTTAAATTATCAATTAAATAATTAGTTATTTTAGCCATTTAAATCTAATTTGAGTTAATTAGTTTAACTCGTTAACTTTATTTAACCTTTTTAAATAGCTAGCTAACCAATCAAAAACGTTTAATCTTTAATGGCTTTCATCCGTCAATCAGAAATAGAAAATAATAAATCAAGTACCTACCCAAACTTACAACAAAACTCGTTGATATTTTGCTTCTCAGTTGTCTTGACATAAGAGCAGCGACAACAACAAGTGAGTTGCCAACAAAACTTGTTAGTAATACGATCACCATTAATAACGTATACAAATAAATTTGAATCGACACCTTTGAAATTTGACAAGATATACTCGATGTCATATTATTATTCGTTGAGTTACACGTCGTGTTCAAAAACGTCGCGTTTATACACGTCATATTTACTGATGTTTTGACTACATTAAAACAAATTTATATCAAAATATGCTTTGTTGTCGTGAATTTTTAAAAAACGGAGTTCATCAATGTAAGCATAACAAATCCGATAGCAACTTCTTTGCCTTAAGTTAATATAAAACAAAAAGATTTTTATAACATACTCCAAAAAACCAATCAGCTATATGTTAAAAAAATAAAGTTACACGTTAATGTTACTTGATTTCGGATTAAGAAAAGTATAATGCGTTTAAAATCTTTTTTACAAGGTTTTTTTAGCAAATAAAACTTGTTATTAAAAAAGAATTTTAGTTGCAATAATGAAAAAAATAAACAAAACTATCAATGTAATTAAATAAAAAAATAGAAATTCAATTGATTTATTTTGTTTTTTAAAATAATCTGAAATGGTGAAATTATATATATATATATATATATATATATATATATATATATATATATATATATATATATATATATATATATATATATATATATATATATATATATATATATATATATATATATATAAATTTGTGATTCGATTCGCGAATCGAATCGAATCAGTAAAATGAGGAAATCCAAGTTTAATTATCTTTTTTTTTTTTTTTTTTTTAACTTTAAAATTTTTTTTTGACCAGTTTAATTTTTTAGCGGTTGTTTGAAAGCAGTATTCCAATTACTTTAAATAAAAACATTTTGATAGCATCTTAACGTTGGGTATCTGAAAAAACAACAACACTCACAAAATAAATAGTGATTTGAAATAATCGAAAGCAATTTGTATACGTTGATGTAGTTTCACCAGTAAACTTGCTTGATATAACCTGTGAAGTTCCTCAGGGATCAATATTAGGGCCTCTTCTTTTTCTTATTTACATCAACGATCTCCATAAGACCTCAAATCTAACGACGATTATGTTTGCAGATGACACGAACTTAGTAAGAGTTTCTGATTGGTTTAAGACAAATAAACTGTCTCTTAATATTGATAAAACGAAATGGATTTTTTTCCATCCAAATCACAAAAAAAATCTTATACCAAGTGAGATGCCACTGCTTTTTCTTGATAATATACTTTTAAAAAAAGTAACAGTTACAAACTTTCTTGGTATTTATATTGATGAAAATTTCTCATGGAAAAGTCAAAATTTGAGTAGTAAAATATCAAAAAGCCTAGGAATTTTGTACAAAGCAAGGAGTTTTTTAAATAAACATACATTACTTAAACTATATTATTCGCTCATTCATTGTCACATAAACTATACGAACATTGCGTAGGGTTGTACTAATAAAAGTAAACTGGAACCTCTTTATAGTCAACAGAAACATGTTGCAAGCCTTATTAATTTTAAGGACCGATTTACTCATGCCAAGCCTCTATTAATTGAAATGAAAGTTTTAAATATATATGAGTATAATATTTTTAACGTTATATGCTTAATGTTTAAATGTAAAAACAATATTTCTCCTGTACTTTTTCATAATATGTATAACAAAGAAGAAAAAACTAAGTACATTTTACGAAATGATAACGACATTCGTCAATCAGCTTATCAAACTAATTCTGGAGAATACTGTATCTCATTTCGAGGAGCATTGCTTTGAAATAAAACAGTTGTAAAGAATTTTGACTTTTCTTAAGAAGTTAGCTATCACTCTTTTAAAAAAAAACTTTAAAAAGTCATTTTTTATTAGATGATATATCTATATTCTTTTAATTTTTTGTTTCTTTTTTAACTTTATATTTAACACTGCATTAATAAAATTTATAATTTAACAATTTGTAAATAGTTGTTTGACACTTTTGTTAAAGGTACCTTAAAACTGTATCACAAAACCTTTAACAAAAAGTTTAACAGTTTTGTTAAAGGTATCTTAAAACTGTATATCGCATCTATGTATTTATAACGGAACCCTTTTTCTTTTTCTTTTTTTCTTTAAATTTGTTAATGTTTTCAATTCTTAATTCTTAATTATTTGTTTTCTTCAAGTATGTTAAGTATATATTCCTATTAAAAGTTTATTTATTTTGAGAATATTTTATTAATACGAAATATTGACACGTAAATTTTTTAACGGTTCTCGACGACAAGACCTTACGGTCTTCTACGAGTTCCCGTGTTCTTTTATTTCTTAATAACGATCATGTATATATACATATACATTGTTAACAAATATTTATTAAATCACAAAGTTGTAAAATTAAAGTACAAAAAAAAAAAAAAAAAAAAAAAATATGTATATATATATATATATATATATATTCATATATATATATATAGGGGAAGTGGGGGCATAACCGCATATGGAGGCACAACCGTTTTTTAACATTTATCTTCAAAAAATGTTATCTAATATGGCAAAAAACATATCACGCGTTAGTAAAACAGTTTCCTTCATTTTGCATATGTCAAAAAGAGTGACTGTTAAGTTTCTGAGAAGTTGTGAATAATAATTTTTATTTTGATAAAAATATTATATTTACATCATATTTTTCCTGACCTTCTTTTTGAGAATTAAGCAATATTTAATTTTAGTGTTAAAAATATGTGTTCTCAGCATTATTTCATGAAGTGAAAGTCATTTTTGATAATACCATAATCTAATAATTAATCTATGAAACTGAATTCTTTCTAAAAACTCTCTTCTAGAGTAGAACTCTCTTCTGGGGCAGAACTCAAAATGTAAACACAAAGAATGCCTGCACAATATGCAAACATGCAACAAAATCATCAAATCATCTGAGCTGTGAAAATTGTAAAAAAAAATGTACCATGAAAGGTGTAGCCTCATCGATTTTTTTGAGGGTGCGGTTGTGCCTCACAATGGGGGCAAAACCGTTTTTTTTACTAAGTGTAGTTTTTGTGTAATAACATTTTCAAAACCTGTTTAATTTTTTTCTTAAATGCATCAATTTAAAGCTTAATGATGTGGTTATTGAAATAAACTGCTAAAAAAACACATTTCGTTTTTATTTTCATATAACATTATTTCAAACGTTACGGGGGCATATATATATATATATATATATATATATATATATATATATATATATATATATATATATATATATATATATATATATATATATATATAATACATATATATATATATATATATATATATATATATATATATATATTTATATATATATATATATATATATATATATATATATATATATATTATATATATAATGTATATATATATATATATATATATATACATATATATATATATATATATATATATATATATATATATATATATATATATATATATATATATATATATATATATATATATATAATATATATATATATTATATATATAATGTTGTTAAAATATTTTTTTGTAGGTATAACATATGTTAAGCCCCAAATTAGCCTATACAATAAAGTTGAAAAATTAGTTTATGTTAAAAAATGGTTTATGTAGTGTATTTTTGCAAACACTAATAAACTATATCTAAAATATTTGAGTTGCATTGAACTGCAATTACTTTTTTGGTTTAGTGGCTTTTGTTTAAAGACTTTTTAACTTTGCGTCTAATTATCTCATTTCAACATATTCGTAGTATAGGCTGGTATGGCGCTAAGTCATCCAAATCCAAATATTATCTAAAAATTCATATATAATCCAAAAATTTATTATTACTTGAAGCTGGTGCCAAATAATAGTTTTAACTTTTTTTGGGAAAAAGAAACTTTTCCATCATTCTTACATATTTAAAAAAACTTTTTACTTTTTTTTATATTAAATAGAGCAGCCGTGGTACAGCCATATAGTACATTCTTAGGGGACCTAAATAAAATTTTAAAAAATAAAAAAAATACGTTGAGCCAACTAGCTTAGTGAAAATTTTGCTAATTTACCCCAATAGTCTTTTTTTTAATAAACAGCCTCAAAATCTTGAAAAATAGCAACTACTAAAAAAAGACTGACTAGAAATAGTTAATTTTGAGTGGAATCTTTACAATAAATTCATTATCATATAGCTTACTATTTTCTTTGTAGAGAAAAAAGGAAACGATGAACCAAAAGTTACGTTTTTGCTGAAATACACATAAATCAATATCTCTAAGGTACATGCGCGAATCCTCAAAATACTACAGTGAGAAAGATGAAATAACCAAATAGAAAGGTTCCATGAAATTTCTTAAGCATGATCATGGCTATTAAAGAACTCTACACAGCAGTTGATAAAATATGATGCTTTATAACACTTGAAAATACGCATAGCGGTAATTCAAAATTTTTATTTTTATTTAAATAAACTTTGGAAATCCTCGTGTTTAGCAGCAAAAGCAGATACTTAACTGTGTGGTTTAACCATTTAAGTTTTAATACGCATTTATTATATTTTATAATATTTTAAAATAAAGTTTTTTTAAAAATATGATACATAACTTCTTAGTGAAAATAAAATATGATACACAATAACTCAGTAAAAACTTGGTATCATTAAATTTTGAATTGCACTGATATTTAATAAAACTACAATGATAAAAAGTGTATTTAACTTTATTTGCAAAATTTAAAATCTTTGAAAATTTGGATAAAACATCTTTTTTTTACATATCTATAATTAGTTCATATTTATACTTGGGGTGTCTTGGGTCAAAAAAAATACACTCGAAAAGTCAAACTAAGGAAAATAAATTACTGTTTTTTATAGATTAGGCTGAGAGTAAAATGTTAGTCACTCATTTTAGTCATTCACTATAGTCATTCATTATTTGATTTCACATTGTTCAAAAAAGAAAAAATATTATATATTATTATTTCGAAAAAATAGTGAAAAAGCAATGGCATAATGACGATATAATATTACCAATTTTTTTTATTTTGTATAATTTTTTAAACTGAGTGTCCCAGTTAAAGCTGTGAAACGCATTCTCAGCATCTAAGGAACAGAAGTAGACAGGTTAGCTGTTTGAATGTTTCAGTTATAACGAATTCGTCATGACATGACGAATTTGTTATAAGCAAAACATTCAGAGTTCATCTAGATTGTAGAGTTGAGCTTTTTTTATTGAAATCAAACTGACGAGGATGAATTTTTTTTTACCTCTAGACAAATTGTTAAAATAAGATCTTTTATAAGTTTCGTTACTAACAT